CCACCCCGGAGAAGACTCCCCTTCACTTTACCTCCACTTCCTCTCTCTTCTGTTCTCGTGTCTCACTGTGTTTTAAGAGAAAATGCTTTACCTCTCCACAGCTCCTACTTTTACTTGCCAAAAGTTTCTGTGGAAGGTCACAGGGTCTCTGGGATTCAGTCCTTCTGCTTTTCTGGCTTATTATTAATCTTTCAGAAGCAGTGTGAAATTTTGAAATGAGGTCATTGTCTGAACTTTGCAACTCCTTCCAATGACCAGAGGGCTGGCACCAGGCTGAGTCTGAGACCAGAGGCCATGATCTTTTGCTTCTGTGTCGCAGAAACTCTCACCATCCTTGACAGAGGGCAGCACTCTGTCGGGGAATGCCAGAAGGAAACTCTGTGTGACTGCTTTTCAAATGGCAAACCGATTGCCAGATCCCGAAATAACACAAAGTCACAACTGGGCATTGGTTGAGAATTGAGGCTGAGAATGAATTAAGGGAGGAAAAATAATATTAAAATAAGAAGAGCTACATAGACTTCTCAGTTTGGTACAGAATGCCTCATGATGCAGACCAGCTCACTTGATGACCTTGCTAATTAACATGAAGGCAAGGAAAGTGGGTCCAGGGTTGTGAGGGACCCCCAAGCCACCTTATACAAGCATATTCCTCCTTGGGAGGAAAAAAAAAAAAGGCAAATAATGAACTGTGTAGCTTTGGTAGCACTGGTAAAACTCCATTTCTTCAGTAGGGTGACAGGTACATGGGTGTTTGTTTCATTATGTTTTATAACATATATACACATTATATAGACTCATAAAATATTTTATAACTTGAAAGAATAAGCTAAAAAGGGGTGCCTGGGTGGCTCAGTGGGTTAAAGCTTCTGCCTTCCGCCCAGGTCACGATCCCAGGGTCCTGGGATCGAGCCCAGCATGGGGCTTTCTGCTCAGCGGGGAGCCTGTTTCCTCCTCTCTCTCTGCCTGCCTCTCTGCCTACTGTGATCTCTCTGTCAAATAAATAAACAAAATCTTTTTTTAAAAAAGTGCAAACAAAAAGGATATTGAACAATGTCATAAGAGGGTAAACAAAAACAAAAAAAAACACAGTCATTTCTACAAAAACTAGATTGAATGCCTTGGAAACACTCAATAAAAGCATGTCATTAAAAAAGTTGTCCAAAAAAATGCTAACCAAGTTAGGAATGAGTGAGAGAACTGTAAAATATCAGGAGGAAAAACATAAAAATGAAGCAAGGTTTTGCAATCTGATTGCTTCACAATAGTCTAGAATGTCTTGCTCCATGTCAGAGAAAATGGAACAAGACAGTACCACGTGGGCGGTTTATGCAAAAAACAGTGATGAGCTCTTCCTTCAGCAGACCCGTAAGCAAAGAAAAGGCTTAGGTCTACATCTGACCACTAGCAAATTACTACACATTTAGATATTTTTGAGTAGAATGAAGTCACTTAAAGAAAGAACATACTTCTTTTACAGTGCCCTCATTTCAGCAATTTTTTCAATGATCTGACCAATTCTCAGTTCCATTTACATTGGAAAAGAATACACCTACTTGGTAAAAGAAAAGGCTGACCCCAATAGCAATCCCTCCCAATCTAAAAAAATATTGGTACAGGATATCAACTGATTCCAGCAGTCTGGCCTTCTCAAGGCTAAGTGGCTATGAACTCTATTTCCAAGGTGTCAAGGGAAGATAGGTTATCAGTCTCACTTCAGTGCAACATTTATCTTAATCATGTATCTTGAGATTACTGGCTCAGTATATTTCTCTCCCTCCACTAATTCTCAAGAAGGCTCCATCTTTGGGGCACCTGGGTAGCTCAGTCAGTTAAGGATCTGCCTTTGGGTTTAGGTCATGATTGCAGGTTCTGCCCCCTGACTGGGCTCTCAGCTCAGCGGAGAGCCCGCTTCTCCCTCTGCCTGCCCCTACCCCTGCTTGTGCTGTCTTGCTCCTTCTCTCTCTGTCAAATAAATAAATAAAATTTTGGGGAGGCGTGGGGTGGGGGGAGAGAAGTCTCCATCTTCTTGAAGCCAATACTATGCTACGTTGTTGAAAGGAGACTGCCCAACCCTACAATTTTCGTAAATGAGATCTTTAAATATTAATAATTTTAAAAACAATGAGGGAAACCCCAGCAACTTTAGACAGGCTATAAATAATTAGGCATTCAGTCAGAGCTGAGTTGTTAAATATCTTGGAATTCGTCTGAACAGAATGTGCTTTCCTAGAAACGATACAGCAAAATCGCCCTTGCCACTCTCACTCAGACCAGAGGAACCATATCTGAACTTCCTCATTCTTACAGTCAAGGTGCTAGTCTGGCACTTACAACCTGTCTTAGCAAAATCTTTACTGAGTGGCCGGATATGACTGAGACCACACCAAGATACCAATCTATAAACATTATGAAACAGTTTCCTTTCAAACAGCTTGCTTGTGTGAGTTTGCCTCCCTTCCCCTGGCCCTGACTACTTCCTCGCCAGCACTCTCTAAATTTCAGTTCAAGCTTGAACAAACTGGGCTGGAAGCAGGGTGGATCCCTACAGTCATGACCCAGACCCAAAGAACCCAAATGCTTCCCATGAGGACCACCAGTCAGAAGTCTGCTCAGTCCAGCTGCAGAGTGTAGAAGGGACCAGACAGCTTTCACAAACATCATGAGCACCCCACCTCTCAAGACATGAAAAGGTCCCTTTTCGGACAGCCACTAACCCAGGTGGCTGGCATTTTGGATAAAGACATTATCTCCAGTGATACAGCCAGCAGACATCTTTTGGAAGCTTGAACAAGGCAATCAAAAGTGATCAGAGTGGATCTTTCTTTCTAAGTGGATTCACCTTTCCTCAGTTCAGCTAGGCTGCCAGAACCTTCCATCTCCAGCCCATATCCACCGCTGAGATAAAGGCAGAATCAACCAGATTCTTCCAACCAAACCAAAATGAGCTAAATTCTTGTCTTCCCTGTTTTTCTAGACCTACATCAGAACTGTCAAGGCACTAATTTCCACTAGTGTCTGTGATAGATTGCCAGGAAAGAAAAATTCCTTACTATCCAGAATAACCATGTACTTACAGGTTCTGTTTGGTGCTGGCTGCTTAAAAACTCAGCAATAAACTATTTTATGCACGATAGCTAAAACGGCACACGATGCACTGGCCCAAGGTTTTCTTTCTTTTTTTTTTTTTTGTAAGATTTTATTTATCTATTTGACACAGAGAGAGAGATCACAAGTAGGCATAGAGGCAGGCAGGGGAGGGGGGAAGCAGGCTCCCTGCTGAGCAGAGAGCCCCATGTGGGGCTCGATCCCAGGACCCTGAGATCATGACCTGAGCTGAAGGTAGAGGCTTAACCCACTGAGCCACCCAGGTGCCCCCCAAGGCTTTTTATTATTTGTATACTTCAACTCACTCTAGTCTTGCTCTGCTTTGAGCTTTTTCACTTAAAGACCTTTCTGAAGCCACTTCTTACTCTGGATCAAAACAGTCTCACCGACCCAACCAGCTTAAATGACCAGCACGATAATATTAAGTTTGCCTAGGCTTTGCAAATTTCCCCAGGATGGTAGAGCGCTTGGGGTTCTAAGGAATCATTTTTCAGGGAGTGGGAGCAGGAGCAGAGAACAGCTCATGCTGGGATGGACATCCACCAAGGCCACCTCCCCCAGACCACCTGGGATGTCCATAGCTGTGAGAAGTCGGGCAATCCCAGGACACACTAACAGCCACCCATAAACATGATTACCGCCCCTGTACCTGCTGGGGCACCTGCGTGTAGCCCAAGGCTAGCTCATCCTTTCTTCCCAAGCCATGACTCCTTTCCCCAATGCTTCATCCCAGTCCCTACCAGAAGAGCCCTAAGTGAAGTGATAGACCTTTGTCCTCCAGTCAGGAGGAATCATGGCCCTTTCTGTCTCTCCTGGCTTTAGGAAAGGAGAAAGAAATCTCTCCACTTTGTGTTTCTGGAAGTTTGATGCTGAAATTCCTTAGGTTGTCCAGGTGGCCCAGGACCCTTTTCCTAGAATGACAGACACAGGTGTCCCTACTCCTGAAAGCTTCCCTGTGTTCCCATGCCTGGACTCTCGAATTATTTATTCATTCAAGGCAACATAAAAACATTCAAGAATCCACAGCGTACAAGACCTTAAATCTAGGCACGGGGAATACAGCAGTGAATGAGACTAAGTCCTCGCCTTCAGGCAACCTACAGCCTCGTGGAGAGGGGGAAACAATAAACCCACGTTCCAATAAACAAGTTCATAAAGCTGGGCCTGCTATGAAGGAAGTAAAGCAGGGCAACAGGACAGAGAGAAACTGGAGGTGGTAGCAGGAGCTACTGCCATGAGGGTGGTCAGGGAAGTCTACTCTGGGAGGGGACATTTGAGTTAAGATGTGATGATAAGGGGCGCCTGGGTGGCTCAGTGGGTTAAAGCCTCTGCCTTCGGCTCAGGTCATGATCCCAGGGTCCTGGGATCGAGCCCCGCATCGGGCTCTCTGCTCAGCAGGGAGCCTGCTTCCTCCTCTCTCTCTGCCTGCCTCTCTGCTTACTTGTGATCTCTGTCTGTCAAATAAATAAATAAAATCTTTTAAAAAAAAAAAAAAGATGTGATGATAAAAGGAAGCTAACTGGTCACACATCTGTGGGGAGAACATTCCAGAAAGAAGAACCAGCAAGTGTCAATGCCCTGAGAAAAGAGAAAGCTTCATTTTTCTTTTTTTTTTTTTTTCTTAAGCTTCATCTTTTCAAAAAGAGAGTGGCTAGAGCTGGGGTCATAGGGGCGGGCAGGGACCCGTGCATCCCCAGGGATGTCCTGGGCTGCAGAAGAACCCATCTGAAGGTGATATGCCACAAGTGACTTGTCTGTGCCTTAAAAAGATCATTCTGGAATGCTGGAAGGAGAATGGTCTCTGGGGCCGAAAAAAAAAAGAGGGGCAGCAGGCAGGGGACTGGCTGGTTGCTTGGACTTAGCTGGTAACCACAGAGACGGCGAGCCATGCCACCACTCTGGGATTCGGGACATACTCTGGAGGGCAGGCTGCCAGGACTCTAGAACAGAGGTGGTAAGCCTGGCACCCTGTAAATACCCATTAATGATCCCTGCATAAGTAGCCCACAGACCCCCTCTTCCTTAGACATGTCGTGCAGGACAGTGGCCCAGACACCGGACTCGAGAGCCCAGATGCCCAAGTTCAAATTTCCACTCATCTGCTTCCGAGCGATAAAACTTGGTACGTCACTGAACCTTTCCAAACCTTGATGCTTCATCTGTCAAATGGGGGCAATAATTAAGACGCCCTCATGGGGTTGTTGCGAGGATTGAGCTGGTTACTGGGGATAGAGCATTTAGGGAAGGAGCCTGCAACACAACGTGTCTGCTTCCTCTTGACGCCGTAACAGACGACCACACGTTTACTGGCTTCATTAACACCACATCAGTTTATTCTCCTACAGTCCTGGAGGCCAGCAGGTCAAAATCTGTTTCACTGCACTAAAGTCAGGGTGTTGGCAGGGCTGGTTCCTTCTAGACACTCCATCACTTGTCTTTTCCGGCCACATCACTCCAGCCTCTGCCTCTATCATTGGCTGCCATCTCCTCTTGTGGCCTTGTCTCCTTACAAGGACCCTGGCGATTACATTTAGGGCCCCACTGGAGAATCCAGGATACTCCCCCCATCTCAAAATCCCTGACGTCATACATCCACGTGACTCCTTCTGCCATATTCACAGGTTCTGGAGATTGGGACGCAGGTAACTTTGGGGGCCATTATTCACCTCACCACATATGGTAAACAATAAATAAAGGTTAATTATTATTATAATCATTATCATTATTACTCCCTTGGCAGCTGCAGAGCATATATCCCCAACCCCCACCCAAACTGTATGGGAGAAAAGCCAGCTCCCTCCCGAAAGCCCCCTGAGACCAGGCCTAGGCTTCAGTCACCCGTTGGTCCCCGTGAAGCGACTGGGGGCAGGAAGCAGACAGAGCAGGAACAGGCTCACAGGCCTTATGTGGGGTGGGCGAGGGGCGCCTGGAGCCCAGGCTTAGATCTCCTGATGCTGCTGTATTCCATGGATTCCTCGTGGCTCCTGCTGGGAACGTGGGCAACGTGGAAGCTCATGTTGCAATAGGTTGCGTCCTGATTCAAAAGCTCCCAAGAAAGATCCGCATAGGGGATCTCCTCCTTCGGGAGGGCGGCCTGTAATGAAGAAGCCCAAGGGGTCAGAGAGGCCGGCGAGAGGCTTTGCCTATCGAAGGAGGAGGCCTTGGATGAGGTAGGAGATCAGAGCCTTCAGGGAAGGCTACGCCCACACCCTCCAGCTCCCGCCCCCTTCGCTCCACCAGCTCCCTGAGTCCAGCCCCAGCAGGAGACCCTCCCTCCCCTCCATGTGAGGGCAGCATCCTTCACAGGGAATTCCAGGCCGGCCCAGGTCCCTGCTGCCATTACAAGGGCCGTGTCTACTGGGACTCAGGGCCCACAGTGCTGAGACCAAAGGGGGACCCTCCCAAAAGCCCAAAGCCTGGAGGAGTTGCCCAGGCAAGTCTTTCAGTGGCTGTGGCTTGGCCCAGCACCCACCCCTCCTCCTCTGTGCCTCCGTGGGCAGGAGAAAGCCAACCCTCAAAGCGAAGACAATGGCAGATCTGGCTCCAAGCCCCACAGCAGCCCCACCAAGAACACACCATGGTGACATATTCCACTTCCGGCTGGTCATCCTGGCCAGAGGAGGAGGGCTTTGTGCAGCCATTCTTCTGGGAGGACTTGTGGGAGGTGCTGGTTGACTGCAGGGCCAGGTTTACATAGCAGATGTCCCCTTCCCCTTCCAGGGGCTGGACCACCTTGGAGAGAAAGCCCAGGTCCTCTTTCCCGCAGGGTCACAGAGTGAAGACAAAGTGTGCTTCCCTTTGTCCCCCTCTCCCAGCTTCCTCTGAAACCCCTACACCTGCCCCCTTTTGGCTGTTTCCAGAGTCCACCCCCGCCCATCCTCCCAGGCCCTGCAGCTGGGCCGTGAGCACACAGACACTTGGACACATAGTTTGTGTGATATATTTGGACCTCAGTGCTTCTGGGAGAAGGAAAATGAAGATGGAGAAAAAGGAGCTGTCTGGGGTCTCTGGTCTGACCTCGGGGACTCTCTTACCTGCTCTGGGGATACCCCAGCAGCTAAAAGACAAAAACAATCAGAATTAGAAAGCCCATCCCTAGACTCTGAGGACTCCCCCAGGTCTGGGGAAGAGAAATCTGGGAGGAAAAAAAAAGTGAATTAGGTTCCAGGCTCAGAGAGATGAAACCTGGTTCTAATTCGGACTCCCCAGATGACACACTTTTTTCATTTCATTTCACCCACCTGAGAAACAAGGAGACCTCGCCCACCTCCCCCACATCACAGAAGGGCGATCAGCTGATTCGGTGGCCCTGCCACCAATGGGCACCCCTGGGGTTAAGTTTCTTTCTGCTCAACTGCAGGCTCAGACTGACTTCCCTCCCTGGAATGCCTGCATTTCCCTACTGGGCTGGTCATTAGGGAGTCAACTCAAAGTCACACCTGCCTTCCCAGCTGCCCAGGAGCTGCCTCCCTCCCTCCCCATTTCCATGGTGTTTGATTTATATCTATCTCATCGCCTTTGTCCCACTAATTCCAGTTAGTCCTCCAGTAGGCTGAGGGCTGCTGGGCAGCTGAGCCCGTCCCTCCTTGCATCACTGGTGCCTGGCCAGTCCTAGAACACAAGTGTCCCCTCCAGGCTGCCCCCTGAGTGGGGTTCACAAGCTGGGTCAGCATCTTATGAACCAGCTTTCAAGTGCCTGTGGTTCCTGGTTCTCTCTGCCCATCCCCCTCCCCAATTTTAGAGCCAACTTAATTAAATAAGTTCTAGCTCTGGTTTTTTGTTTCAAAGGCCTAGATATTGAGAAGCACAGAAAGTACTTAAAACCTAGGTCTCAGACATACACTGGGGAGGAGGCGTGATGAGCAAGAATGAGCCCCCTCCCCTTTGGCTACAAGAGTCCCCAGGCTGTGGCGGGGGAGGGGTACTGGAGAGCACCCCAAAAGAGCTGAGTCCCTGGTGAGTTCTGAGGAGGGGGTTACATTTTCCATGAGGATGTGGAAGCAGAGCCATCCCTCCGCCCCACACTTAGACCCACACTCCAGCCCCTACGCAGCGTCAGCCGTATCTGATCACCTTCCTTCTGTTGCCTCATCTTCCACAAAGCCAAGAATGAGGCGACCACCAGGAGAAGCAGCAACACAGCCACGGTGAGGGGAATCAGGATGCTGAGCTTCATGGAGTTAGAGCTGGAAACAATAAAATAACACCATGCACCCCGCCCCACCTCCTGCTCTGGGCCGCACCCCAGCCACCTGGTAGCAAGGAGGGCCACACACCTTTTGACCTGCAAGCCTGGGGTTTCTAGCTTGGGAACCCCATTCCTGGGTTCTCTCAGAGATGGTTAAAAAAAAAATCTTTTTTTTTTAAAGGAGAGGAGGGTTCCACAAGTTTTCTTTGGGTCTAGACACCTAACTGAAATTGTATGGCAACAGGGTGTGAAAAGGTCTCTCTGCTTCTACACTTGCCCCTGCTGTACTGGATTAAGGAGTGTCCCCCACCCCCACAATTCAGGTTCATTCAGAACCTGTGAAGGTGACCTATTTGGAAATAAGATCTTTGCAGATGGAATCAAGTTAAGACAGGTCCTACTGGATGGGGAGGGGTCCTAATCCGATGGATGGTGTCCTCACAAGAGGGAAGGTAGCCACACACAGATACACGAAGGAGGAAGGCCATGTGACAAGAGAGGCAGAAACTGGGGTCACGGTGGCACAAGTCAAGGAGCCCCAAGGATGGCCAGCAGCGACCACTTTCTCCCTTTAAGCCCCAAGAAGGAGCCAACCGTGCTGACACCTTGATCTCAGCTTCTGGTCTCCAGACTGTGTGTAAATAAACGCCTGTCCTTGAAGTGGCCTGGGATGTGATGCTTTGTTAAGGCAGCTTGAGTCTGAGTCTAATGCAAAGGCTATCTCTTGTTCATCACTAGCCACAGTGTTTGTAGAATAAACTCATCAGTCAATGAATTAAGTAACTCTATCTGGCACCTGAATTATCTCTCCACTGTAAGTATCTGGAGTGCAGACAGCTTGATCATTCTGTTGGTCCTAGTATCCTCTCATACTCCCCAAGACAGTGAGGGCATGAGCGAGAGCTCGATAATTATTTGTTGAATGAATGAATGAAACCATCTCACGCTGATCAAAGATCCAAAAATACAGCTTTGATTCATAAAAAGAGGAAGCTCCTTAACTATTGCTTATTGAAAGCAGGTTAGTAAAAAGAAACTTTTGAAACAGAGGGCAAATGGGAGAGTGGAAGAGCAGGGGTCCTGGGTGGGGATAGAATAACTGGGGACCTCCCATCCAGATTCTACAAGAAGGTCCATCAAAAGGAGATCACAGCAGTTCTAGACAAAGTCAAGAGGGCCAAGGAGGAGACAGAAAGAGGTCTCTCAGCTTCCAAAAAGCCACTTCAGCTGAACTGGCTGGGCAGAGTGCTAAGGAGCATGAGAGAGACTCAATTTCTTCCTCTATAAAATGGGCAGTTGTATCTGCCTGCTTGTCCTCATGAAGCAGGTCCAAGAATTAAGAGACACTGGACAGAAAAGCCCTCTGTGAGCTGGCAGGTGTTCTCGAGATGGGGCAAACGTCAGTACTGCCGCTCTTGCCAGAATGGTAATTAGGGGAAACAGGATGTCCCCGAGCCCTTCCTGTTCTCCTGGTATGTGGACCAAGAGCCATCCCTGTGGCCCCACGATGCTGGTGCCCCCGACACACACACATGTGGGCCATGCCATCTGCATTGACTGCCTGCTCATCGTTCTCCCACCCTGCAGTCTGAGCTCCTGGGGAGAAGCTCCTTGTCTATGCCTCCAGAGCTCAACAAGGGGCTGGCCATGGAGAAGTTAACTCAGTAAAAATGAGACAGAAGAATGAATACATCAACACGTCTACAAACCATACTGGGCTCCAGGAGGAAGGATCTGGGGGGCTCCAAGGACACTGTGGGGCCTGATAGCAAGTAAGAAGGCTCGCCCTGTCCTCCTCACCCTCTCAAAGGAGGCAAAGGGTCTAGGGACAAGCTCTGGCTGGCTGGCACCTGGGACTACGAAGTGTTCCTCCCCCCCCACCCCCGCAACTGGAAGAATTTGGGCCAAATAGACCACCGGAAACAATGCACTGGAGCTGGCTTACCTGTCACTGGAGTGGTAGCCGGTCGCAGTCAGGGGGCCTTTGGTGTCTGCTGGCCCAGTGGACATGGTGATTGAGGGGGTGATGGAGGTTGGTACTGTAGTTGGTGCTAGGCATACAGACCAAATTATACACTGTTCAGCCTGCTAACCTGCCCGCAGCCCTGCACATGGCTTTGAGCCTGCCAGCGGGTGGGGGAGCATGGGGAGCCTAGAGCTGGGCCATGGGAAGAGCCTATAGCCTGGACTGCTCCTATCTCCCTGGCCACTAGGAGACTCAGCCTCAGAGGCAGGAAGGGCTGAGTACAGGTCCAGGGAGGATATCGAGCAGGCCCTGGAAGGGTCAGAGGGGGCCTAATGTTACCTCAGGGCAAAGGCAGCTGGAGTTGAGCTGGACTTAAAACCCTCCCACTGCCCATGACAAGGCCTCTGCCAAGGTCTCCCCCAGTGTCATTTATCCAGAAAGGACAGAAGCAGAAGGGGGTGCTGGCCCGGTGGCTAACACTCCCAAGATCTGTGACTTCTAAGGTCAGGACCACCCCTAAACAAACTCAAAATGTCCTTTGCCTTTGTTTGGGCAAGTTATTAAGCTTCTATGGGGAGGAGAATCACTTCTCAGGAACATTTTCCAGATTCAATAAGACAGTGAATGTGCTGTGCTTTGCGACGGTCACACGCCTCGCAGGTTCAGGTAGGGTGGGGCTCTGTGGACTCTGCGCTGTCCCCTTGCCACAGGTCCCTGTGATCTGGTGCTTCCTGTCCAGAGGTCAGAGAAGCAGAGCCCAACAGACCAACTCATTCAAACCAAGGCAGTGGGACCTCTGAGCTGTACTTCCCAGGAGTGTCTGCATTCTAGAAGTACTGAGGAAGAGAACATCATTAAGCCCAGATGTGTATATGGCTTGTAATGAGATTTCAGGCACCAGAAATGCAGCCCTTTGAATGGGGTTGCCTTTTCGGACCTCAGGAATCAACCACAGTACCCTGACTGTGCTGGCCCTCTTCCCTCTCGGCCTGGGTATGGAACAGGAGGAGGTGGGAATAGTTGCTCTCAAGTCCCGGCCCCAAACTCCAGAACAAGCAGGGACACGCAGGCACCAGAGGTCCAGGAAAGCACTGGCAAGAACTGGGGTCTCTGGGTCACATAGAAGAAGATCCCTTTGGTCCACAGACTGAAACTGCGACCATCACCTTGACCTCTATGGACAATGGATGCAGGTGCGGCGCTGTGCAGCGAAACACCTGCCCAGAAAGGCTGGATCCCATCCTGCACGAGGTGCTGGGAGCCATGAGGGCATCTAAGAGAAGCCCTGTGTCTCCCAACCCATGGGGTCAGTCGGGGTTCTGGGAGTACTCAGGACTCAACTCCCCTGTGTGACAGTTCACTCTGAGTGACACTAAGTTATTAGAAAGGAAACTCAGCGACCAGGACAAAGAAGACCCTGAAGGGAGCCAGCCACACTCATACACAAACTCTTACCTGGGTCAATGGCCACTTTAACTATGACCCCAAGGTCAACTCCAGTCCTTTCAATCCCACACCAGTAAGTGTCTGTATCATTCCACCTGAGCTTCTCCATGGTCACCGTGAACGTGTGCAATTTCCAATCGTCCTTGATGGACAGTCGGTCACCCTTCGCTTCCCGCTGTGATCCGTCAGTATGAACGAGGATACGGCAGTGACTCCACACGGCTCCTCGACACCACCACTTATGGTAGGTCTCCCACTCGTGTCCATAGCGACACTGCACGGTCAGTCGGCCCCCAACTGGGCCTCTGACTGCTGCTGGACCCGTGATGTCAGCTGAGCCTGGAAAATACAAACCCATGTGCCTGTCATATCCCACCCCACCCACTGAGGGCAGAGGCTCACAAGTAGCCCCAGTAAACCCAAATGCCTGATGAGTTGAGTGACAGTCAAGGAGGGAATACACCTTCCACAAGTCCTTCCACTTTGTCCTTCAAAACTCCACTGGGTCAAAGCCACCGTGGAAATCACAACTGATTTCCACCATGGAAAGCACAACTCTACATCTCAGAGAAACAAGAATGTCCCCACGGAGCAAGGACAGCTTTCGATAATCCACCCCTCCCCCTCCCTGTGGTCAACGTCATCTGGAAGCAAATGACCCAAGCGAAGGCGTGGCCCCAGTCCACTTCGGCCCATTGTCCTCGTGCAAGATGTAGGCTCTGTGGTTTCAGACCTTTTCATTTTTCTAGAGTAGCCAGGAATCTGGATTTTGTGTGGAACCTCTCAACTTGAAAACACTGGTGACCAGCACATAAACAGAGCAAAGGAATTTCTGTGTCTTTAGAATCCTAAGAATTATCTACAAAACTCTCTGGCAAATTCATGATTGGGACATACACTTTGATTACGGGAAATTGTTTTCCCCTGAATATTGACTATTCAAGGACTTTGATGGTTCTTGAATCCGTTCTTTTATTTTGGTTTGTTTTTCCCAGAAAGTTAACCTCTTTCATGGAGTATGTATTAGCATAAAGTCCTCCATTTAGAAAGTATCCTTTTATAATTAAAATGTCCATATCTGTTATTATTACACGTTCAGACCACATGAGGTCTGTGAGTTGTGTGGATTACACTCACTGCAGGGTATCCCCCTTCTGTTTCTCCTAACCTCCTTCTTGTTTTTTCCTGCATTAAACCACTTTTGAGATTAGTTTTTATTGTTCTTATTTCCTAAGTTATTAATTTGTCACATGTGTGATTTTATTCCTCTTCTTTCTGCGAGATCACTCCTTGCCTTCTTCCAAGTTGCTCAGTTAAAGGCAGTGATAATTTCCTTCCTTTCTAAAATGAACTAAGGTGTGTTTAAGGCTAAGAATTTACTTTTGTCCATTTTAAAAATTGAGATATAAATCATGTATCATGAATTTTACTCTTAATTTTAAAGCATCTATCTGGGGTTCTTGGGATATTCAGAGAGTTGTACAGCCATCACCTCTAATTCCAGAATGTTTTTGTTACCTCAGAAGAAACCCTGTGCCTGATTCACCCCCACCATAACCTATGTCCTGTCTGTAGATTTCTTTATTCTGAAATCTACATTTCATGACCACATAGTCATACAATGTGTGGCCTTTTGTATCTGGCTTCATTCACTCAGCAGAATGTCTTTTAAGTTCATCCCCATTGTAGTGTGTGTGGGCACTTTGTTCCAGGGTAAGGACAGGGACATTTTGTTTACCCATTCGTCAGTGGAAGCTATTTGGATTAATTTCCCTTTTTGACTATGTCGAATAATGCCGCTGTGAACATGTATGTACTACTGGTATTTGCATGGAGATAGGTTTCAGTTCTCTGGAGTATAGCATACCATAGGACACTTAAAACGGTAAATGGGGAGGGGAAGGGTTTCCCACAAGCGTGGCTGGATCCTGTCACCTCTCGCCATGCTCCACTTAGGTAAATGCAAGAAGATAAAGAAGGCCAACATAAAATAGCAAATCACTTCTTAAACTAGAGGGACATAGAAGTGAGCCTTTATAATATCTCTGAATGAAAGGTAGCACTTTCGGGGTGCCTGGGTGGCTCAGTGGGTTAAGTCTCTGCCTTCAGCTCAGGTCATGATCTCAGGGTCCTGGGATCGATCCCCACATGGGGCTCTCTGCTCAGCTGGGAGCCTGCTTACCCCTCTCTCTCTGCCTGCTCTTCTGTCTATTTGTGATCTTTCTCTCTCTGTCAAATAAATAAATAAAAATCTTTTTTAAAAAAAGACTCCATTTAGGTTAAGGAGGGCATGTATTGCATGGAGCACTGGGTGTGGTGCATAAACAATGAATCTTGGAACACTGAAAAAAATAAAATAAAAGTAAAAAAGAAAAAAAGACTCCATTTAGAAAGTTGGTAAGGGGCAAGAAAAGAAAAGGCACAAAGAGAAAATTCAGGTGGTTGATAAAATTGGAAGTGTTCCATTTAAACAATCTAGCAAATGAAAACATTTTAAAGTGATGTCATTTTCACATATGAAGCAAACTTAAGTTTTTGTGACTACTATATTGCTGACATGGGTGACGTGACATGGACAAGAGGAGAAGCTGCTGTTAGGGATGTAACCATTCAACCATTACCGAAGGCAATGGGGCAATTATGTATCAAAATAATCATGCCTTTTGCTCCAGTGATTATATGTCTAGGATTTGGTCCTCAGGAAATAATCAGAGAAGCTAATAAGAACATATGCACCAAGATTCATTACATAATTATTTAAATGGTTTGTTTTTTGTTTTTGTTTTTTAAGATTTTATTTATTTATTAGAGAGACAGAGATCACAAGTAGGCAGAGAGGCAGGCAGAGAGAGGGGGAAGCAGGTTTCCTGCTGAGCAGAGAGCCCGATGTGGGGCTTGATCCCAGGACCCCGAGATCATGACCTGAGCCGAAGGCAGAGGCTTTAACCCACTGAGCCACCCAGGCGCCCCTCATTACATAATTATTTAAGGAGCAAAACTAAACAAGGTTAACATCCATCAATTAGGATAATAAGTAAACAACAAAATATAATGCAGACACTGTTAATTACGCTTAGAAATATTGTTAATTATGTGGAAAATCCTATGAGGTGAAAATACTTTATTTAAACATCATATACAGCACAGTCTCAACTAATTTTTAAAATATGCATTGAAGATGGGGCGCCTGAGTGGCTCAGTCATTAAGCGTCTGCTTTCGTCTCGGGTCATGATCCCAGGGTTCTGGGATCAAGCCCCACATTGGGATCCCTGCTCGGTGAGAAGCCTGCTTCTCCCTCTCCCACTCCCCCTGCTTGTGTTCCCTCTCTTGCAGTCTCTCTCTCTCTCTGTCAAACAAATAAACAAAATGTTTTTTTAAAAATATGCATAGAAGAATAGATTAAAAGGAAACCAGTAAAAATATTAAATGAACATCAGGTTGCCTTGGGCTAGGGATATAGAATTTTTTATTTTTCCTGACTCTTCATTTTTTCTGTACTTTCCTAAGTATCAACAATGAGCATTTACTACTTTCAAAATGATGGGGCGGGGTGGGGGGTGGAAATAATGCCTGGACAGGGCTGTTTCGTGGCATGGTGAGCAGAATAATGGCTTCCTAAGGATGTCTACATCCTAATCCCCCAGAACCTATAAAATACTGTAAAGCAGCTCACACAATCAAATGCGACTTTGCAGATGTGACTAAATTAAGGATTTTGAGATGGAGAGATAATCCAGGAGCATGGGGCGGGGCCAAGGACCTTATCAGAGGGAGGCAGGAGGGTCAGAGTCAGAGAAGGAGAGGGGACATTGAAGGTCAGGTGGGGCCACATGCCAAGGACGCAGTAACCTCTGGGCCATGAAAAGTCAAGGAATCTGATTCTCCCCCAAAGCTACCGGAAGGAACGCAGCCCTGGTGATCCTTTAAGACTCTGACTTCCAGACTGTAACATTATAAATTTATGTTGTTTTAAGCCACTGGGTGTGTAGTCATTTGTCCTGGCAGCCTTAGAAAACTCCTAAGGTGACATTAGCCCATCTCATCTGAGCGCTGACGTTGGGCCTGACTCCTGAACCGTCTGCTCCACTCGCTTCCTGGAAACGTCTGTCCGGGGACCCACTCCCCACCAACCTCGGCAGAGCACTACCCTGCTGTCTGAACCGTCCTGACACCAGAGGCAGCCCTGATGGGGCGTCTGGGGGGCTCCGTCGGTGAAGCGTCTGCCTTTGGCTCAAGTCATGATCTTAGAGTCCTGGGATTGAGCCCCCACGTCCGGCTGCCTGCTCGGCAGGGAGTCTGCTTCTCCCTCTGTCTGCTGCTCCCCCTGCTCGTGTGCCCTCTCTCTCTCACTCTCTCTCTCAGATAAACAAACTGGCAGCCCTGAGCCCCAAGGAGCAGCACCCCCAGCAGGCATGGTTATTTCCAGACTAGTGGATCGGGAGTAACCCTAGTTGAGGAAGAAGATGAGCCTCAGGGGGAGTTTACGGGCTCACCGTCAGGGAGGCACAGGATGGACCCCCAACTCCAGCATGGCACAGGACGTCAGCCAGTGTCCACTCCAGGCCGGCACATGTGGGTCTTGTCCACATCTACCACCACTTAGGGTGAAGCCAAATGTGGACAAAGCAACTAATATTCCTCTGAAAATACCGGCCACAAATCTCTTCCTTTCTCACAAAAAATGAAGGCTGTAAAGCTCTGGCTGGTATTTGTTTCTTGTATAGCTTGGAAACAAGGAACTCTTTAGAGTGAGAAGCCGTGCAGGGTAAATGGGCGTCTTGTTATGGTAAGTTCCCTGAGCCGCTGGTGAGGGGGCACAGGTTCACAGCACAGACCAGGTTCCTGCTGAGCACACAGCTGTGCCTGCTGGCTTCCAACTGACATTTCCACTCTGCCTCAGTCACACCCATACACGCGCACGTGCGCACACACACCAGCCTTATTCTCACATCTGCTCACCAACTTCCCCTGTTTCCAGATGTCGGGGGGGGAAAGAAGCAGTCCTTTATGTGCATTCACTGCCCTGCTGATTTAGGGGTAACGGCTCGCCCTGAATCGGCTTCTCCATCCCCACAACCCATCCCCAGCTTTGCCTTTACAACCCTTGTGGTCCTGGACACATCACTTTCCTCCCCTAAGACTTTCCCCCCAGACACAGTGATATCCTCCCAATCTGCCCCTCCGGGCTGCTCTGAAGCACGTGAAGAAGCCACACGGCCCGTCCATCTCTCAGGCCCGCTCAGGGTCAGGTCAGCAGGCTCGTGCCCCTATCAGAGCCTTTGTGCTCGCTGACGCCCGTGTCCAAAAGTCTGCCTGCGATCCTAAGTGCCTGCTCCTTCTCATCCCCCAGGCCCCTGCTCAGACATCTCCTCCCAGAGGCTCCTTGCAGTAGCCCCCCTCCATCAACAGTGCCACCCCCTTCCCTGTGTCCCCTGAGGCTCAAAATGTCAGGTCCCCGAGCTCAGCTCTCCTCACAGCACCTACCACTTCTTGGAGGTATTATCATTTCTCTAACCGATGGAATGAATGATCAAATTCGACCACAGAAAGGACCGTCCACTTGCCACGAACACCTGCTTCCAGAGCCTCAGATCCCCACAACGCCAAATGTTACCCAGAGATTTTTCTACCAGGAGAAGTCTACTGCCGCTGACTCTCCCCTCTGCTCCATGATGATGTTCGTGCTGACATACGATTCCCTTACCATAAAATTCACCCTTTTATAACGTACAGCTCGGCGTTTCCTGGTCATTCACAAAATTCGCAACCATCACTACACCGAATTCCTTTCTATCACCCCAAAAAGAAACCCCTTACTCATTAGCATTCACTCTCCCTTATTCCTTCCACCCAGCTCCTGGCAACCACTAAATGTACTTTCCATTTCTGTGAATTTAGCTATTACGGATATTTCGTAGGTGTGGAATGGTACAATAGAGGGGCTCTTGTGTCTGGATCCTTCCGCTCAGCATAATATTTCCCAGGTTGGTCTGTGTTGCAGCGTGTGTCAGCATTCATTTGTTTTTATGGCTGAATAATGTTCCCTTGAATGGATATGCTGCATTTCTAAAAAAAAAGATTTTATTTGTTTATTTGACAGAGAGATCGCAAGTAGGCAGAGAGGCAGGCAGAGAGAGAGGGGGAAGCAGGTTTCCTGCTGAGCAGAGAGTCTGATGCGGGGCTCCATCCCAGGACCCTGAGATCATGACCTGAGCCAAAGGCAGAGGTTTAACCCACTGAGCCAACCACGCACCCGGTATGCTACATTTTATTTGTTCATCCATCAGCTGATGTACATTTAGGTTGTTTCCAGTTTTTAACGATTATGAATAATGTTGCCATGAACGTTTGCATACAAGTTTTTTTTTTAAGATTTTATTTATTTATTTAATTGTCAGAGAGAGAGAGCGTGCACAGGCAGGCAGAGGCAGAGAGAAAAGCAGGCTCCCTGCTGAGCAAGGAGCCTGATGTGGGACTCAATTCCAGGACCCTGGGATCATGACCTGAGCCGAAGGCAGTGGCTTAACTGACTGAGCCACCCAGGCACCCCTGCATACAAGTTTTTACATGAGCATATGTTTTCAGTTCTCTTGGGTATACACCTAGGAGTCGAACGGCCGGATCATGTGTTTAACATTTTGAGGAATGTCAAACTGTTTTCCAAAGCAGCTGCACCATTTTACATGCTCACAGGCAATGCATGTCCTCTGTAATTAATGGCAAGAGTCCCTAGTGTTCAGTTCTTTTTTTTTTAATTAACATATAATGTATTATTAGCCCCAGGGGTACAGGTCTGTGAATCATCAGGCTTACACAATTCACAGCACTCACAATAGCACATGCCCTCTGCAATGTCCATATCCCCACCCCCCTCTCCACGCCCACCTCCCCCAGCAACCCTCAGCTTGTTTTGTGACATTAAGAGTCTCTTATGGTTTGTCTCCCTCCCGATCCCATCTTGTTTCATTTATTCTTTTCCTGCCCCCTAAACATCCCATGTTGCATCTCAACTTCCTCATATCAGGGAGATCATATGATAGTTGTCTTTCTCTGATTGACTTATTTCACTAAGCATAATACCCTCTAGTTCCATCCCTAGTGTTCAGTTCTATGAAAAAGAAAGTTGAGGAGTACGGCAATCATATTCTTTTCCCTCTCCATGAGATACATTCACTCACTCAACTAATACTCGCTATTTGTCTAATTTATACCTGGTATGTTTGTAGGAGCAAAAATTCCTGCCTTCCTAAGGCTTATGTTCTCTCAACGTGGGAGAAGGGAGGAGTCAGACAGTAGAGAAAAATAATGCAAGGGAACTGCTATTTCAATGAAGTTTCTTATCAATGAAGGCCTGAGTAAAAATCAAAGACATGCAGGATATGAGGGACTGGAACATGTGGCTATATGAAGAAGAGCGTTTGGGGCAGAGAGCGGCAAGTGCAAAGGCCCTGAGGCAGAAGTGTACCTAACATGTTCAAAGACCATCTAAGAGGCCATTCTGGCTGCAGTGGGTTGACCCAAGAGAGCAGAGTAGAAGAGGCGATCGGGAAGGTGATGAGGTGAGAGAACCAGGTGGTAAACCTTTTAGCTTCTGTAAGGACTCTGTGTTTCTACCCTGAGTAGGATAGGAAGTCATTAGAGGGTTTTGGCCAGAGGAAGGACAGCATCTGGCTTGCATTTCCCAAGGATCATTGTGGGATATGAGAGATGAATGCCCCCCAGGTTTTGCTTGAGTACCTAGAAAAGATGGAGTTGCTAAACACAAAGATGGGAGAGAAAGGAATTTGAGGGGGGATGATATGCTGAAGTCACATCCGAAATGTCAATATCTTAGTGGAGAGTTGAGTGGGCACTTGACTAAAAGATTATGGGGTCCAGGGTGATGTCCAGGCTAATGATACAACATCAGGCATCAACTGTATAGAGGTAGTATTTAAGCCAAGAGAGGAGAGGAGATCAATCAGGGAATGGCTTTAGAGCTCTAGAAAGAAAAGCCCAAAACTGAGCCCTGTGGCCCTCCAGCATTTCAAGGTCAAGAAAATCCCTTAATTTTTAATCCAAGTGGTATCCATCCACTGACAGTTTCCTTCCGCCACCATCCCTATCTTAGCCCCTCAGCAACTTCTACTACTTCCTTCTACCCCAAGTGCCTAGAACCACGTCTTCCTCCCTGTCTGGCAAACTCCCAGCTTTCCTTCCTCCAAAGCCACCTCCATACTCACTTCCTCATAAGACATTCTCGAAGGCGACAGTGCAGGAGCAAGTGTTCACCAGCTCTCCCGAGCAACCAGGGCTCCTCTGCTTCTCCTACACCAGGGGGGCCCCTTAGTCCAAGTCCCTTCGGAACAGTCGACCCCTGGGTGGTCAGGAATTACACCCTGTGCGGGGTGAGGAATGGGGTGGCCGACACACAGACTCACTACTTGGAGAAACTGCTTAGAAACACAGCCTGCTTCCCAGCAGGACCCGCTGCTGGGCCCCCTCCTCCCTCCACCAGCCACTTCATCCTGCCCCAGCAGCTCTTCTCAGTACAGACCCAGGCCCCACTCACCTACGAGCTGGAAGAGGGAGAGGAAGGACAGCAGCAGGTACATTCTCTCTTCGCACAAGCCCCCCTTGGTGGAGCCAGTCAACTCTGACTCAGCCCCGGCATCTTCCACCCTTCTGCTCTCCCCACTCTGGCACTTCCTCCTTTGGCCGCTTCCCACTGGTGAATAAGCAAAAAAGAGGAAGGAGTGAAATCTCAAGGCAACAGGCAATGCAACGAGTCTCGGTGATCATGAATAAGCTTTTGAGAAATGCCCTCCTGTCCGCAGCCACGAAGGAGTGTCTAAAAAGAGGACTTTGCCACTCCTTCTAGGCCTTGGGGAAATTTGCAGACACAGACCCAGGTAGTGGGGCTGGCTCTTACTCAGTCCTTATCCTCTGGTGGGAAGACTGGACAGAGGGATGCCAGCTCCATCACAGAGGTCTTGCAGAGCCGAGGTTGAAGGACACAATACTAGCCACAGGGGATGTCAGGGTGTAGCCTTGGGAGTCCAAAGGCCAGGAGAGTGGCTGCGGGGGAGCTTGGGACAAAGCCCAAAAGCCAGAGGAGAGATTCTAGACCAGAGTGGAATGAGGAGGAAGAGAGTATCAAACACCAGACAACAAAGAAAGACGCTCAAAGAGTAGGGATATGTGAGCAGGGACCTACTGGTCCGATGGGCAAGAGGGGCCTCTGTCCTCAGAACTTACTGGAAACTCTCACTGCTGTGCCCCAGACCACCAAGTAAGAGCCTGTGGATATTGATACCGGCCGGAATCCTCCAGAAACTTGCCAGTTAGACCAGAGCCTCCTTTCTGAAGAAAGCTGCTCCTTGCTCATGGCAACTACCCCCTCGCTCCTCACTTCTCACCTTATAATAACTACTTACGGAAGTAGGAAGAAGGTCAGCTCCAGCTTTGCCCGTCTTACTCCTTCTTTCTGCCAACTTTGTGCCCATCCCCCATCCCTCCCATCAGGACCCCAGCAAGCCCCGGGGTGGAGCATAGAAGACAGGACATGTAGGGCCCTTTCTCATATTTTGCCTCTGGAGCCACTTTTGCTAAGTGTCACACACATACCCTGTGACATCTTGAGAAGCAAGTGAGTCCCAACGAGGGACATAAGCCCCTTACATCCTGATCAGGAATGAGTGGGTGTGCAAGCAGCCTATTTGCACACACACAAAACCACAACGGCTGATCAGCCAAGCTTTTCCAGGATGTGGCCAGAGACAGCCTTCCACTTACATATATCCAGACCATAAAGTAAGGTCAACGATTGGCCAACGGTCAGCCCTCCATCCCCACTCTCAACAAGCCCATAACTGCACAGTTATGCTGAGAGACATCAGCCTCTGATTACAAGGACACTATTTGGCTCGGGAAAATGACCTAGGAGTTAAGCAAGCTGGGACATCCCTGAAAACCAAGGGGTCAGATGTTTTGAGAGTTGTGGGTAAACTTTCCTTTCATGCGCAGAGGCGGGAAGGAATGACAAGCATCTGAGCAGCTCAAAATCCTGCCTGGGGCCCAGCCCTCTGCTCCTGGGCCCAGCTTACCTAAGTGTTAGGAGTTAGATGGACAATTAGGCAGTCAGGGCCAGTGTCCCCACAAGAAAATAGGACAGCTAAGACGAAACCGTTCCAGCATCCTGTCTTACAGCTTAGACAGGACCACCATGGCATCCTGTCCCAGCCTCTCTGCAGGAGTCACTTTTGCAAAAAACATCCTGAAACAAAACAATTAACCTTAAATCATTGGTCACGATCACAAGTTGAGGCAGCCCATCTCCAGACGTCTGCCCAAAAGACCGACACGTGAACAATAAGCCAGTAGGTAGATGGGTGCCTGATCAGAGCCCTGATTCACAGGGACCCACAGTCAGGATGCCCAAGATACATCTGTGGAAGAGCTGAGCACAATCCCAAGATTTGAACGCCAGAACAGCAACCCTCTCGGGTCCCCTCCCTCTCCGGGAGCTTTGTCCTCTCACTCAATAAACTCCGCCTCGCCGCCCACCACTCTCCCTCTGGTCTACCTCTTCACTCTTCCAGCAGCGTGACCAAGAACCGTGGGCACTGTGGGAATAAAAATCCTGTAATACAAGGAGGATTCCCTTTTGGGTCAAGAACAGTATTATCTGAGGGTCTCTGAATGGTGGCAAGACAGAACCTTGGAACAAGTGCCTCTGGGCACTATAGGAAAGTCAGGCTGTTCTGTGGGTCCTGCATCCTCAAAAACCTAGTGGAGGCTTGGCCATTGACTTCTGCCCAAGTCAGCTCCCGCCCTGGGCTCCCGTGTCTCCATCTGTGAAAGAAAAGACTGGATGGCTCATCTGAGGTGCCCCTGCCCTAAAACACCTGTGTATGTGTGTGTGCATAGACGCACACATGCTCATGTGTGGGTATGAGTGCTTGTGGAGATGTGTGCATGCATGGACGAACATGTGTGGTACGTTCGTGTTTGCATGTAAGCATGTGTGGGAGCTGTGTATACTGTGTGTGTTTTACTGCTAGAGCGATGTGTGCACACATGGATGTGTTATGTGTGTGTATATGTGTGTGTGCACTGTGTGTGCCATAGTGGTTTGTGTGCATACACGTTGTGTGTATGCATGTGTATCATGCATTGGGTTCTCCTGGTTACAAGGAGCAGAGACTTGTTCAAGCTACTTCTCTTGGTCACTTTGGACTTGCAAACTGCCATATTTTCAGAGCTTGATCTATTCATGGGGGAAGGAGGTCTTGTTCTGGTTTTGGGGAACAAGGGCTGGTTTTGTGGGATCTCTCCCCCTCGGGATTAGAAGATCCATGAGGGCTGTATCCCCAGTGGCTACCACCACCTCTGGCACATAGGAGATGCTCAATAAATAATTGTTGGAAAATGAATACACAAATGAATTGTTTTCACTGCATTGTCGTTCTTCTCCTGGCCCTGTAAAGCTCCGTCATAAACCACAGCTGTTCTCAGCAACCATCCTGAACTCAGTCTGCTTGGACCCAACCACACATCATCTTTTCTACCCACTGCATGCTACGCTCCATATTTTACATAGTTTTCACATGAAATCCTCACTACAAATATACAGGAGAGGCAATGTTATTCCCATTTTTCATCCAAAGAAATCTAGGCTTAGAGAGCAAGTAACTCGTCCAAAGTCACATGCTAGTAATTGGCAAAGCCAGGATTCAACCCTGGGTCTGGCTCATAAAGCCTACCATCCTGCCTCTGGCTAGAGAGGCTGAGACAGAAGCCAGCTGCCCTTTGGTCCTGTTCAGTGCTCGCAATGAAGAGGGAACCTGACAGCCAAGAGTTAATAAGACAGCACATCCTTGAGATGGCTGTCAGCCAAGTATCCACTCCACTGGCTATTTCTAAAACAGGTTCCCCCAAAGTGAAAGAATGTCATGTTGTCATGAACTGGCAATTGGTTTTGAAAAGCAAGTCACTGATAACACTAACCTTAACCCTTTCCAGATCTATCCGCAGTCTATGGAATGGGAAACTGGGTCCCAACCAAGTTCTTATCCAGGCACTCGGGCAGACGCAAAGTGTGTTTTTGAGAAAAACACAGGTCTCCAAAGTGTGGGTTAACCCTCTGGAAGGACAAGGTGAAAGAGCTCTGTGGTTTTCAGGACAGGGTGTGAGCTGCTTTGCATCCTACCCCTACAGTATCTAAGGTAACACTCGCTGAAATCGACAAAGTGAAATTGGGGCTATTCAGGCTCCCTCTGCACAGAGGACCTGATCTTTTCTTAAGCACTGTTTAGTGGGCTGGGTTTATTTGGAAGAAATAAAATTAAGCACTTGTTCAGCAACAGTTAGGCTAGACATTGGCCTTCCTCTTTGCTTTTACCTGAGTTACCCAGCATGGCATGCCTCCCCAGCACATATATAGACATATTTCTTTTTTTTTTTTAGATTTTATTTATTTATTTATTTATTTATTTTGACACAGAGAGAGAGATCACAAGTAGGCAGACAGAGGCGGGGGAAGCAGGCTCCCTGCTGAGCAGAGAGCCCAATGAGGGGCTCAATCCCAGGACCCTGAGATCATGACCCAAGCCGAAGGCAGAGGCTTACCCCACTGAGACACTCAAGTGCCCCATATATAGGCATATTTCTGAATTACAAAGGAATGTGTGTTCATTACCAAAGGAGAATGGAATATAAATGAACATAAATAATCCATTTTAAATCACTCCCGATCCCCCCCATGCAGAGACAACCACTGTTTAATATATGTATGTGTCCCCAAAAACCAGTGTTTCGCTCTTTTCTGTGGAAATGCTATTTATTCCCATTTAAGCAAAGGATCACTCATGAGTTTACTTCGTCAACTAGTTTATTACACTTATTAGGGATTTTTAATACAGAAAAGTACAAAAAGAAAACATGGCCCATGATGCCCACTCTCAAATACTCCCAGCTAGCACTTTTTTTTTTTTTAAGGTAATGCAAGCAACGTTTTGGAGAAGATGGGGAGAAGGAAGGATGGAAGGAGGGAAGGGAGGGAGGGAGGAAGGGAGGAAAGGAGGGAGGAAGAATAGTGAGAGATAAAGCAACAAATGAAAGTCTTCTCTTCATTCCCAGAACCTCAAAGGTAGTCACAGTCAGCCTCTGCTGCCTCCCTGAAAAAAAAGTTTATGCATAATCAGTATATACACCCAAGTGAAGTCAACATAAGTCAGCACACAAGCATACCTCTCTGCCCCTTCTTTTACTCCATGATTATCATTTTTCCCAAACAGCACATACAAATCTACCTCATTCTTTTCTTTTTTTTTAAATAATCTCTACACCCAACGTGGGGCTTGAACTCATGACCCTGAGATCAAGAGTTGCATGCTCCATGGACTGAGCCAGCCAGGTGCCCCTAGCTCATTTTTCTATGGGTTCCACAGCATTTCATCTCATGGATATTCTACAGTTTATTTAAGCAGCCCCAGTTGCTGAATTATTTGCTCTTACACATGCTACCATGAACATCCTTGTACACACATCTTGGTGAAATTTTGCAAGTAAAACCATAGAACTGTTGAGTCAAAAGAATTTGCATTTGTAACTTTGATAGACATTGTCAATTGTTCTTCAAAATGCCCCAGTGGGGTGCCTGGGTGGCTCCGTCAGTTAAATGTCTGCCTTAAGTTCGGGTCATGATGTCAGGGTCCTGGGATCAAGCCCGCAGTGGGCTCCCTGCTCAGTGGGGAACCTGCTTCTCCCTCTTCCTCTCCCTCTGCCCATAGCCCTGCTTGTGCTT